GTTTTTACGGTGTCAGTTTCACTTGTCAACAAATGCAAATGCGTTTTAGTACAACCGGAAAACTGGCATATCTGACTTCCCGTGTCACTGCCAAAAAAACAAACTCTTTTTTTCTTCTAAATAAAGTGGATAATTCCACACGACTAAAAACTGAGATTTTAAAATCAGTAAACAATAGTGTCATGCTACCATAGGCTATAGTATTCAGTACATGTTAGCATATGATTGTAGATGCATGATTTAGGGGAGCAGACAGCAGAGACACAAGTACACTGTTATTATTACTTTGTTTAAATCATGTAACCATAATCACATGTTAATGTGTTTTGAATACTATTGAGATTTCATTGATTTTCACATTTCTGCATTTTAGTCGATGAGCTAACGGCTTTATTTTATTTTATATTTTTTAAATTGTTGTCGTTAGTAACGCAGGAATATCATATGTCCCAGTTTTCTTAAACACGTGGCTCCGTGAAGCTGACACCAAATTGTCCGAAATCCTCCAGTGCACATGCACGGTGATGGTGTGAAGCGTGGCACAAACACTCTTGGAGATGTGTACACTACTCTGTGAATGTGAAAAACATGTGACACTGAAATTAAAAATGCTTGTGATCACTGCTTGTTCCGGCTTGGATGTAAAATGGTTTTGTGCCTGTTCACATTTGTACTGCACTGTAAAATGTAATATTGTGTTTGATTAAAAATATTAAATAGGCTGAACTCAGTTTTTATCAATTTGTTATTAGAACTCGATTTAAATAAGTTACAAGTACTTTTTATGCAAAAAACGCTGATAAACTCAGTTTATTTGAGTTGTCTTAACTTAGAAAAACTAAGTTAGCTGGAAGTTTTGCTTCTCAGTGCGGAAGGATGAAAGATGTGTTAGCAGCAGTTAGGGACTCTATCAAGCCTTGACCTCCCGGTCAGCTATCGCGCTGGTGGATAACAGAGCTCTCGAAAACGTGGAAGTACTTTTACAAATATGTGATATTTTGATAAATTTAGTAGATATTTGAGCATTGCATAGCTACATTCTCGGCTGAAAATATCTTAAAAGGTTATTTTGTGACCTAGAAAGGGTAGTCTGGGGAAAAGGAGGATCGCTTTGTCACACGGTTGTCAGAGCCTGTGCATACTTGTAAGCGCGGCGATGGCGGAGGAGCGCGGCTAAAAAACTTATTACTTTTTCTGGGTCACAAAATAAACTTTTAAGATATTTTCAGGCGAGAATGTAGCTAAGTAAAGTTCAAATATCTGCTCGATTTATCAAGACATCACACATTTGCAAAAATGCTCAGATGTTTTCGGAGATGTCCATTTTTTTTTTCATGCTTTGTGGCAGCTTTTGAACATCTGTGGCATCTATTAATGTCAAATCTAGCCTTTATTTAACAACATAAGCAAACTCTATGTTACAATGATTGCACAGCCATTAAGGATCAAACCAGTTTCTGAAAAATGTTCTGCTTTTTCTCCCTCTGCTTGCTTCTTACTGTCTTTGAGGCTCGGGACCAGCACTCCTGCTGTTGGACAGAAATACATCAACTCACTGGTAAGTATTTTGGTTTTCCAATATATTAACAATTAGTCAGTTATATTTATATTAATCAGGCTGAACTTTAATCATACTTTAGATCAGCCTGTTTTACTTAT